TCTTGAAAATTTCTGCAGGCAGCACTGACTTGACTCTCTTATATCCTAAACCTGTCCCATTTCACTACTTCATTGTCATTCTCTAGCATGAATGCAACCAGGTGCGTTCGTAGAGAGTACGAAAAGAAATTTTACATACTTTTAATAACTCCTAAGTAATTACTAGAAGTGGAAGCAAAAACCGATTGCAAAATTCTCTCTCACGCCAAGTGAAGTTTACATCTTCTGAGGAAGATCGATTAAATAATGGCGTCCTTAAGCTTCATGAACAAAAGTCGAGAAAATGGTTAGTCCTTATCTTCCTATATGAGAGAAAGAACCACGTAAGAAACTTTTCTTGTATTTCGTGAAGGCCGGGTGTATATAGATGAATCTGATCGCGAATATCCTAATCTCTCTATTGGGAAAAATAGTTGCTTTTCAGGCTTGGAAATGTTTTCTGATAAAGTATCTGAGGTGGCAATGGAGTGTTGTGATCGCGATGAGGGTAGCTTTCGGTTGCGATATTGTACTAAATCACTTCCAAAAAATTTAAACATCTCATATTTTTTCTCTACTTCGGCGTATTCCTTATGATCCGACCCGTTCTTTAAGTGGATTGGAAGGCAAAGTGACAAATCCATTGTATCATTGATGGCTGGAGGAAGTAAGGTGTTTGATGCCACGTTTTGCACCAGTGTACGTATTTCTTTTGCGATACAATTCTTTATGCTGAAAAGTGTCATGCTGTGAAGACGAAAAGACTACAGAAGATTGCGAAGGTACTGAGAATGTTCTTCAGATGTCTTGGACCCATCAAAACCAAATGCCTTATGAGTGCCTCTGATACACATTGAGCAAAGCGTTTATTAGAAGTTGAACCGTCCTGGTTTTTTTATCTCAGCACTATCTGGTTGTAGGGGATGATTAGTTCTATTCACTGAAAACTGACAGTACTTTCTTATTGAAAACCCCTTCCTTTCCAGAAATGGGCGCATATGAAAATAGTGGGCATGGCGGTACCACTTCTTAACGAAAACTATCACAGAATTTGTGCAGTATCCGACTAAATCAGTCGTGTATTAACATTTCTCTATTTTTCGTCAATTATGCTTTCATAACATAGCTCTTCGCACTCCTCCGTCGTTCATGTACTCTAAGATGCCTGAGGGAACAACACAGAGAGTTTTGATTTTTTTCACTGAGCCAAGTGTCTCGCCTCTAAAGACGTTAAGGGAGTTAATGAACTTGTGCAACTTGGGCAGACCTTGTGAACGGATATTTGAACTAAACACGTCCCGAAAGTTATCCCACTCCGTATATTGCTACTGAACTGCAGAATTAGAAGCGTGAGTGACCTAATTAATTTCACTGCACCTATCGACACTAGAAGCTTCTTTTATATGGAAGAAAATACTCTGTAACAAATTTATCTCACGCACTTTTCTAATACTTACTGGTAAAGGCTCTGTAGTTATTTTGTCCCATACAAGCACATTTGTTCCCTCTAACGTACGAAACGACCGCAGTTTACACGAAAACAATGACAGGGAGGGGTATGTAAATGCTTTGTCTCGAACGAGATGCACTGTTTACTCCAAGCAGCAGAAACGAAGTTCAGTTGAAAAGACCACCCAAGCTAACAACTCAGCTTAGAAGCTCAAATTTGCTAGGCTTAAATCACGACAGGGGGCAACACGTATAATTGGGCACAACGACTTAATTCTACTAAAATGAGTTAATGTTTTACATGAAGAACTAAGAAAAAGGATGAAATACTAGTTTGACAAGTAGACGACGACTATGCGTAAATACTGTATAAAGTGGGAAAGTGTTATCGACAAAGAAGTAACGGAGCTTTTCCGCAGCCAGTGTTTTTATAAGTGAATCACGAACTTTTTATGCCCGTTTGAAGAGGACAGATGTTATCGTGCAAGACATAAAAAGTGTTCTAGAGCATCTACCAACCAGCCAACTGCATAAAATATTCACATGAGATAGGAATGCCATGGGGGAATCCACAGGTAGTGAGGAGATTCTCAGAGCTGTTGGATACCGTTTCATAGTCAATACAGGAGAAGTTCAAGTGTATGAGGAGATGGCTATAGTGACTACATTTGTGAAACAGAAAATAACTCTTACAGCTTAAATAAAAATATGATAGGAAACGACCACATCACAATAGATCGAAGCTTTTACCCAGTTGATGTCGCCCTGATGTAGAAAGGTCTACACAGATTCAGAGCATCGCCTTCTTCTCCACATGATTTCATGAGAGTGAGATAAAGCATAGTATTCTTAAAATCAACATAAGCTGATACCATCATAATATCCTACTCGACTGCTCAGGAAATCACGTGAACGGCAACATCGATGAGAAATGGGGCTGGTTAATTTCTCATCACCTCAGCAATTCTGATGAAACGCTGAGAGTTTCAAAATCATCAAATCACCTAAGTCTTCAGAAACCTGGACCGATCATCAACATGCATCGCACGACCGTCAAACAACAATCAAGTTAAGGGCAAGTATGGAAAGCTTAATAGAGATGCGATAGAAGAACATCTTGCGGAGACAAGAGTGGCAGTATTGATTGAAGCCGAAGAGGTTGTGGAAAAAACATCCGCAATGCCCGACAGTACTTCACCAATAACATTAGCGATCGTATTCCCACATTCACACGGGGTATTCGTTCCATCCAGGAGGGAGGTGGAGAAAATCGCTGTTCTTTTTGATGGCCATATCCACTTGTCTACACACCGTGTGGACGAGGATAGATATGTGCTGTTAAGATCTATACACCAATCGTATCGATAGGCCTACCACTAGCCCTACTCAACAAACAAATTCGTCTTTTGACTTGTTGACTTATGAAGTACAAGTATCCGAGGATGGAAAAACTATCAAAACCGTCTTTCAAAAGCGACTTTCTCTCAACCTCGGTGTGACTAGTCAATATGCATTATTTCTTCGATAAGCTTACACGAGGTTGATATATGATATTTATTCGGCTAACGTTCCGACGGCTTCGTCTTCATCAGAGCCGATGACCCAAGTCCACAGTTATTGGGGAGTGAGTATGGCTCGTTCGAGAGAGATGCTCCACTGAGGAAAGGAAGGTCCAGCTCTATGCGCGACGAAGAAGCCACCTTGAGAACACGAACAACCATCGACTTGGATCATTGGCTTTAATGAAGACGAAACCTTCGGAGTGTTAGCCGAATAAAGATAGTATACAGCCTCTCATGTAAGCTTATCAAAGAAAGAATACATATCAAAGCCGTTGTTGCACTAGGAGGGAAATTTACATGACATCGGCAATCATGTTGAAACTGCTAGTAATACCTATTTACAAGGTTTTCACACTAGTTGTCCTCATCATTATTGATTGGAAGAAGGACAGCCATACTGGCGAGTACGGTTAGGAAAAGAATTCAGGACCGAGTAGATCACTTCCACAAGCTAACGAAACTCTTGGACGATTCAGAGAGTTACTTATTTCAACTGGACAATCCGTTCGCACATAACGAATAGGACCAAATACTTCCTTATCCACTCCATTGTTTCTCATCCAAATAAACGGACATTAAATCCATTGATGTATTCATCACTATACCATCAACACCATTTCTGTTGCCACTGTGGAATTATTCTGGACTTCGCAAGTGTCGAACCTCATAACAATTCTGTTAATTGAAAGGAATGTCCTGTCTATTCATGTATGCAGTACAAAAGGGATATGGTACACTAAGTAATAAAAGCGCTCTAAAAGGCTCTCAACGTTGACCAAACCCTCAGGCATGCGCCATACCTTCCACTTCATCAAGCATCATTCAAGGTGATTAAATGCGCATCTGGCTTTCACAACGACTCGTGGTGGTCTAGTGATGTATCGAGCCAGCGCTGCTATCCTTTCCCGACCCAGGAGAGACCGAAGACTCGGTGAGTCTGAGGTGCGGGATCTATCCAATGTGTTTTGCAGAGGCGCCTCCGACTACTGCGCTGCATATCAGTAATATACTAACTTATTACCAACAATGAGTTGTTGGCATGTGAATTAAAGCGAAGCATTGGATCTTGGTATTGTTGTTAGGGCCACAACAAAACCTTACTCTCTTTATTCCGGTTCATTTGTTAAAAATTAAGAATACATGTAATGAAAACCCAAAAACTTCAGCGTTTTGCCAGCAACTGTGAATTCATAACTCAATAAAACTAAATGATCCAGTTTCCCATGACCGACCTTCTTTTAACCTCGACATTGATTGATAATTCGATGTTTTCTTCAATAAGCTCTTCTCTGAGTTATTGCCCATGTATTACTCTGTGCGGCTGCTATCCATCCAACCAACTTAAATACTTACAACGAATAAACGGCTCTGAGGAAGGCGAAACCGCCGAAACATCAGCTATTGTATCCTAATAAATTATATAATAACAACCTTGTATCTGCTTATTGAAGAAATGCATCGGACCCAGTTTCCAATTCATCTTCCAGACTTCTGTGTGTTGAAATCCATGACGAACAATTTGTAGCCTTTTTAACTACCTCGTGGAAGCCTTCCAATATTCAATAAACGAAAACAATTATCTTTTTGAATACTTCATTCACTTGACTCTTAGTCTTCCTTACAAGTCTCTCTGCCGTGTAACAGAAACAACTAAGAGATTGATGAGGAAAGATTTTGAGAAACACCAAACGTCTACGACACTAAAAGTAGCACTGAAAAGTTAGCAATTCCGAAGAAAAATTCCACCACTTTGCCAGTGAAGAACGATTCATAACCCAAACTTGAAATAGTAGTAGAAGAAAATCTGTAGAAGAAAAGTAATGTAAGGTAGCGTTAAGTGAATCGTGACTAAAACTTTATTGGTTGCTCCATCTTAAGAGTAAAAGAAAAATCACGAAAACTTACTAGTTCCCTTCAAGAAGACAGGAATTTATCAAGCAACAAACCAGCTTATTACATAGATAGGACGTTCGCAGCTACCAAAATCTCAACGTTTTCTGGTGTTCAAATCTACATAGCTAAACCGAACTGACGAATCCATTCAAGAGGTGCACTATGAGCTTCATGAAAATTGTGCTCAAGTCCTACAATCCAACCAGGATTTGTCGATTGCAGAAGCCCAAAGATGAAGTTGTAGTCGATTTCTCCAGGCATGCACGGTTCATCTCTTGAAGGCACCTGTGCAACCTGCACATATCCTACAAACAATTTCCTCAATAAATTCGTTTCTACACATTTCATGATAAACTTCATAGCACAAAAAACTACTGACCGCTGTACTTACCAATCAAGTCTTTATACTTCCTTATGGTTGCCGAGATTTGTCCACAAATTTGTTGAGCATGAAACAAATCCTTAAACACAATATTTGAGAAATTGCACGTCCACACGTTAAACAATACTAGAAAGACAACTCACATACTGGATTTTCAGATTTGGTAGTTTCACTGCGTCGATAATACTCTTCGCTGTAAACCAACTTTGGCTTCTTCACCACATTAATGACAACAACAACAGTAGTAACAACAACAAATCACTATTGCGAGTTGGAGTAACGAACTATACAAACATTTACCTTGTTCATATGAGGAAAGGAAGTAACCAGGTACAGTATAATGGTTGATCGGCTCGATAAGACACATAATGTTTGCCTAAACATCCCTCTGCAAGGAATAATAATCACGTAAGCACTAACTAAAGGAAAGAAACATCTAACAACATCTCTTACCTCTTTCAGTTTGGTGGCAGCATAGGTTATATTATTCAAAAATAACCCTGCAATGTCGATTTCATTGCTGCTTGAAGGTATGCCAGCCATGACGTGCACCCTATATGAACGAAGCTTCGTGCAATAAGCTTATAAATTGTGGCTTCCAATTAGTCGTCATTATTTAGGCAGTATAATTAATAGAGGTTTCCCGACGGTTTACGCCTCATGGCAGAAGGTAGGTGATCCTGTGTATCGGGCTGCAATGTACAGCGGTGGGATTCATCTCCCCAGCAGGGTTTCCCAAGCTGAGGAGTCCGGCGCTTTCATCAGGAAGCCCAGGCTACAACAAACCGTTACCAGGATCCACCACCATCCTGGTATGAAACTAGTCGCATGGTGGTAAATCTCCCTCTGATCCACAAGGTGGCGACTGCATGTGGTGATGACTTGGAGTAAACTCTGGCTAAGCTAACCTCGGGACTCCAGGAAACCACAATAACTAATCCAGCAAAACTCCGAAAAAATGGGGATTACGCTGAGTCCTGCACAACTAATGAAGATGGGCCATCCATTATCCAAGTAAGTAATTAATAGTAGATTGATTTTCGCTGACGGCAAATACTTTTGAATTTCCGGTTTTCTTAAATTCCAAACCCAACATGGTAAATATAGGCTATCAATAGGTCTATGTAAAAAATGTAGTTTGCAGTTATAATCACGATCTTAACCCTTTTATTTACTGCCTTTTTCTTCTTAATGGCAGGGTATGTTGCGAAATATAACTCGTATGAAATGCTGAGATACCTGCAAAACTCCGGACCACAGGTGTATGCAGTGGGGAACGAAGTGCGCTGCTCGCCGGTAAGGACAACAGCGCGTGTACGTTCCCCACTGCATACACTTGTAGTTATATTGCAAATGTAGACTCTATACAATTGTCATGATATTGACTAACCACCGCTGAGATTTCCAACCTTTAGAAAAAAAAACGCACCCAAATTCGAACTACATTTAGGACATGACGGCGGGTATTCGTCTATTACGTTCTTAAGAAACTTATGGCTAGTTTGCTGTTACGAAACAATTAGGCTAACATTACGAAATCAAATAGCGTATTTTTGCTAATGTAAATTTGCAATTTTGAGCAAATTGGTTTGGAATTCACCTACGCTGGACCACCACTAACAATTCAGAAAGCAGATTTTCTGAAATACCATAATCTAACTGCAACGGGACAATATTTATACCTCATCGGTAAAAGATCTCTAGATTCTAAAGCCCTTTTATTTCGAGTGGTAAAATTGGCAGCAAATCCAGTTGTGGTTTTGTAAAGTCTACAGCAACAGTTACAATCAGGTTCGAACCAACTCATACTGGACCATAAATGTCGAAAATAGGTTATGAAAATCGGCATTATTTTCAGAATTACTAAGTGCAATTAGGAAAGCAGAGATCGTACAGGCGATCGTGACGAAAGTGTCCGTTAACGTGACCTTATTAAAGGCAATGCCATGGCATTAATCACAATAACGCTACAATGTCGGAGGCACCTTACAATACACGCAAGATCGATCCCTGCACCCCAGGCTCACCAAGCCTTCCATTCCTCTGGAGTCAGCAAATTCGTACCAGACTTGACTGGGAGGATAGCAGCACTGGCCTGATACATCGGTAAGCCATTACGAGTCATTGTAAAGGGCAGATATGCGTTCAGTCACCTCCAACGATGCTTAATGAAGCCGAATGCACGGCACATCCCCCCAGGGATTGATCAAAGCCGAGTGCTTAATCCTTTTTTCTTAAGTTACAATAATAAAGTGAAAAACTTCCGCAGGCGTTTCTAGTTATGATGTAAACCAAATAACAATAACAATTATGAAATATGGACCTAAATGCGATACTGTTTGCATATCGGCAGGCTTCCATAACTTACAGAACCTGTTATGATTTTAAAAAAGCAGATTAAAACACGCGTACTTATCACATCGCAAGGCTTTTGCGTAATATATAGCGGTTTCGATGCTTTCTCGAAATTCATTTTGACATGACGGCAGTGCAGCCAAACCACGAAATCCGCGCGACCAGTCACCTAAACGGATTTTGGTGCTGAGTAGTTCATGTAGTTCTGGTATACATGGAAGAAAAACTAGATAACACGTTGTAAAAGTGGACGTATAGGTTTTTGAGCATTTCCATTGAAGAAGGACGTCTTGAGATTCCGTTTATTTTGTTTCCAAGAGCCATCGAAGTTCACAATTCAGAAGGAAAACTACGATGAAACAGTACAAGACTTATCTTTTTGCCCGCTATCCGGAAAGATGAATCGTGCAACAAGAAACCGACATGGGTTTTATTATAGTAAAACTATGTATTTACCCATATATTTGCTATACACTGATGTGCGTATGACAAATATGCAAGAAAGTTATGTTCCAGAAAAAGATATGGGGAAACAGAAAAGGAAAAAGACATAACTGATCTAGTCTATATTGCGATAAAGCTCAAATAGGATAAAGATGGATATAAAACGTTTCCGATCAATGGACCTACGATAGTAAATGATGCAGGTATGAATATTGGACTGAGAATGTAGGCATAATCAATGTTCCAGGTCAGATCTAGCAACAAGGAAAAAGCACTGAACAATTAGCGATGTGTGTGTTTGGTAGAGATGCTTTTGATGTTTCGCCGTTTCACTACATACGCTTGGAAATCCAAGAATCTTCAAGTATTAACATATTAGTAACCGTGAGTACGACATGCATTCATTTCGGCGCACTTTCTTTCTGACCGTTTACTTTGCCGCGAGGATAATATTTGGTACACTTAACGTGAGGCGTGTGTAGCGCAGTGATCAGACGCGCCCTGCAATACACATGGGATCGATTTCAGTACCCCAGGAGCTCACCAAGCTTTCCAACTCTCCGGGGTCGGCAAATTGGTACCAGACTTGTCTGGGAGGAAACAGCATTGGCTCGATACATCGGTAGGCCACCCTGAGTTATTGTAAAGGCCAGATATGCATTCAATTACCTCCAACGATGCCTAATGAAGTGACGTGCATCCTCTAGGAAATAATAAACTCCGAGAGCTTTCATTTATATTTTACGTATTCATTCGAAGGCTCAACGAACACTAATGCAGTACAAGACGTGGCAATCGAAAAGCTCATCTCAAAACATAAGAATGTCCAAAAAACCTAAAGAAATTTTCCAATGCATACCGCGGGCATCGAACGCGCAATCGTGTATGTGCTAAGTAACCAAAAAGAACGCTACTGGTACTACTAACAGCCTTAGTAAGCACATAATATTTAGCGATGGTTGCCTGATCCGAATGGACGAAGAAATACGTAATTTCGAACCACGAAGACGGTTTGAAATAAAGAGCGCAGCTACACATGTTAGAACAACCAAGATTTGCCGGGTCAAAGACGCCATATTATTTGCAGAACAGCTAACGCCTACTGAGTTCCGCGTACCGTTAATCGAACAACAACAAGAACAAGTGGCCTTCATAACTTGGGTTACTTCACGAAGACTCGGGAAGGAAAATTCAACCGTTCTTATGTTAATGGAGCAACTCTTTGGAGACGATTGAATCACTTGTTGTTCAATGAGTGTACAAGTGAGACGACGGAACAATTATAGGGCAACCGTTCAAATCTGTCGAATTGGAAAGCAGCATTTGCGTTCAGTTCAATGGCTAACTATAATAAAACTTAATTACCAAACACTTGTAACTAACGGAAAAAAAGCAATAGAATTCTTGACCCATTGCACTCCTCATGAGTGTGTGTGATCAAGCCAAAATGTGTTTGAAAAATTTAATAACTGTAGTTAGAACGAACTTCCAAACGGTTTACCGCCTCATCGTGGCTAGGTGGTGTTCCTGGGTGTCGGGCTGCGATCTACAGAAGGGAGGCAGAACCCACTTCCGTCCTGATATCAAACTAGTCGCATGGTGGGAAATCTCCCTCCAACCTATGAAAAACACCACCTATAGTGGTGACGACGCAAGGTGGATTTTGGCCCAGCTGACCTCGGGACTCCAGGGAACCGCAACGGCAAATGGCTGAACAGGCAAAAGTCCGAAAAAAGTGGACATTATACTGGGACCCGCACAACTAGTGAGCACGGACCATCCAAGTATCCAAGTAAGATGAGATGAAAAGGCGCAAGGATACATGTGTCACTGCTCAACCATTATTTTCAGTACATCACCGTACTTTATACGAAGCATTTCTGACAAAAATTTAGGTAAACGACCCACCAGGAGGGGCATTGATGAGCGTGTGGGTGAGACCAAGTGAATCAGCCGTATTTTTGAGATCTTCGGCTCCTTCTGAATAAGGGAAAGATACTTCAACTTGACGAAATCCAGCATCGGCTGCAGCTTTGTACCTGTGAAATAGAAGAATTATCATGCAAAATATTACTTTTAAAAAATGAATTAACTCAGCACCGTTGAAGGAGTGGTAACTCTTGACGAAACATATTTAGATTGACTGCGACCCGCATTCTGATGACCCTAAGTGAGATAAAGTTTGAACAAGTCCAGTAAAGTGTATACAAAATTCAATATAAAGGATAAAGGATAGAGCTCTCGGAGTTGATCAATCACTGAGGGATGCGCCATGCATTCGACTTCATTAATTATCGTTGGAGGTGACTGAATGCATATCTGGCCTTTACAATGACTCGCGGTGGCCTATCGATGTATCTAGCCAGTGCTGGCATCCTCCCAGACAAGTGTGGTACCAATTTGCCGACCTCGGAGGGATGGTTTGGCGTGACACGAGCGCGGGGATCGACTCCACGTGTGTGTCGTAGTGGCGCCTCCAACCACTGCGCCACACGCGCCCGCAAAATTTACTATAAAAATAGAAATACGTGATCAGGGTTCACTGAGTCAAATAATGAAGTATAAAAACCACCGCTGCATTTATGAGTACCAAAATATGCTTTTACTTTGCGAAAACTTCTAAAATGACAAAACAACAGGCTTTACTGTGAAGAGAGACCATAAATGAACAATAAGTAACGCAATCTTACAAAAGTTATCTTAGTTGCAACATGAATCACAAGATTAGCAGTGGAACGCAATTGTGGTCCGCGAAAATGTTGTGTTGGCCTTAACTGCACTACCTACGCATCTGAGGTACCTACAGTAGATAATATATGAAATCACTAACACGGTTTAAAGTTACTTGTAAGTAAATGTGAAAGTAGAATAGGTTAACTCTATGGGTATGAACAATACTGCTGAATAAAATGAGTACTGGAAATCCCCGTTAGTAAAGAAATGCAGTCGCAAGTATTTTTTGATGTTCAACATTTATTTATCTATTTTTTACTTTTTTAAAATTCCTTTTCCTTACGCTTCTGATAATAGTCAAAATGGGGTTGATAATGCACCAAGAAAATCTAGGGTCACCGTGATTGGAGGCATAACAATACCTGACAATGCGCGCTCGCTATTAGAATTGGGCCCAAGTTTTGCACCATCACAGCCCATTTCTAAAACGACCCTGCGTAGGATAGCATGCAACCTTTATGAGCTTCAAGATCGACTCCGCTATCAGGCCAAGAAAGAAACAACAAATAGAGATAAAAATCAAGAGGCGACGACACTACCACCATCTCCTTTCCCAAAAACGTTTTTTAGACAGTTGGACTCTAACGATGGTGTTAACATAAAATTCCGCATATTTTCCGACGGCGTTCTCAAGACCCTTGATCACTACCGCGATAGAGAGTTTATCTCTAACCTCACAGCCGCACAAAAATGTGGCATGCGAGAAACTAGAGAATTAATAAACTCGAAAACAATAAGATTATCTGTTAGTGATAAGGGGGGAGAGTTCGTAGTTATCCCTCGCCAGCTGGATGTTGAGATAACAGAGGAACATCTTAGTGATGCTACCCTTTATCGCCCATCCTCTGAAAAGAAATATAAAAGCCAATATCGAAAGCTAAACAATCAATGGGTCAGTGAGGCAAAGGCTGCGGGTTTAAAATCATCGGTTATCCAGCACTTTAAAACCGATAAATCAACATGTCCCGTCCTATACCTACTTATTAAAACACATAAGTTGGTATCACCTGATGATCTTGCTTCAACCAATCCGTCATCATTTAAGGTTAGACCCATCATCAGCTGTATAGACGGGCCAACGGATAAAATAACCTGGTTTTTAAGCCTGATACTTACCGAGTTACTTAACCACATTCCAACTCACCTCACAAACACCCAAATGTTCCTAGAACGTCTACGTAACGCGTGCTTTGAATTATAGAACGAGCGGTCCGAGTACATAAAGTTCACCCGGGAGAAACTCTCCTAATAACGCGTACGTGATGGAGTCTTTCGACGTTAACGCACTGTACACTAACGTGCCGAATGACTCCGCAATGCCAAGCCAACTTCGAACTTCTTGTTGAGCATGAAGGAAGAATAAATATGCATGGATTGACCATCCAGCAGCTAATGGCTCTCCTAAAAGAGTGCCTAAACTGCTCGTTTTTTAGATGGCCTGGAAAATATTTCGCGCAAATAAGGGAGTTGGCAATGGGACAGCGACTGGCCCCAAGCCTTGCCACTGTGTTTATGTCTGAGATAGAAGCCCCTGTTCTTGATCTCCGGCCACTACTCTACTGCAGATATGTAGATGATTGTTTTGTCGTCTTCTCTAAGCAGGAGGAGATGGACAAATGCTTTGAATTATTGAACGAGCAGTCCGAGTACATAAAGTTCACCCGGGAGAAACCGAGAGAAAACTGGCTTCCGTTTTTTAACGTTCAAATAAACCTATCAAGTAGCGGATACCTGACAAAGTGGTATCGAAAGCCAAGTAACAAGAACATTCTTGTTCATTTCCTTTCTTCCCACCCTTCACACACAAAGAGGGCGATTGTGAGAAACATGTTTCGAACAGCCACCTCTGTGTGCACTACCAGGGAACTAAAGGAAGAATCGCGCGACTTGGCTCGGCAAATAACCATCTCCAATGGCCACGAAATAGTAACCTCACGAGATAAGTTTAGAAGGAGAGCGACGCGCCCACGCGAAACACTCGGCCAAAAGAAAGTCCCGTTTATGTTGCCTTTTATAAGCGATGAAGATAGCGTAGCTATAAAACGATGCTTAAGAAGAGCAAGTCTAGAGGAATGGGTAGTGATAGTTGAAATACCACCGGCTACTCTACGTCGTCAATTAGTTCGTAACCGCTTGTATGGCCGTCTATGTGAAACAACAAATTGCGTAATTTGCCCTTGCGACAGAGACAGTGACTGCATGAGTTCAGGTACGATGTACCTGATCTCTTGTCATAATTGCGCGGATGAATATATTGGCGAAACGGGCAGACCTTTGTGTATCCGTATAAAAGAACACCTAGATGGCAAACGAAAACTAAGACGAAGCACCCCACTAGGCACGCATAGGATACAAAAGCATAGCGGAGACGGTTTTGAAGTAAAAGTCAATATCCTTGCCCAGGAGACTAAAACACCAGTGCGAAAACTTCTTGAGGCTTTTTGGATAAATGCCAAAACTCTACAATGAATGGCAGGACGAATGCCCGGAGGTGATAAGCGACCTGATCCCGTATGTTCGCATCAATTTCTGATGTGGGATGCTGCAGTCGTCAACCATATGCGACTATAATCAGCTGTTCTAATTTTCCTCATTGGAAGTCACGAAAAAGCCGTGAGTTTTTCGAGAAGCTGTTGACCATGTAATTACCAAAGAGTTTTCCGTCTTTTTGTAAGTGTTATTGAAGCGTTTGGCCTAGTAGATTGTATATCAGTATAGCCTTCCAGGCTCTGAAGAAGGCGATACTGCCGAAACGTCAGCTAGCATTGTATTGTATTGTGTTTTTCTATGGAAGTAAATGTATGCTGTTTAAAAACCTCGCGATTGCTGAGCAAGAAAACGACGCATTCATATTGCAATGCCAAGAGTAATAGAAAGTCGATCCTGGGATCTATTTTTTATTTCAAGCCTTATTTTGGAAATTACAAATGTAGATACTGCCATCGTTGTTGTCAACACATTCAATCAATACAAACATTAGTAAGACGAAGTGGGATGTTCGAAAATATCTTAACTCCAGTTTTGTTGAAACTAGAATGAATCTGAAAAATCTTGTTAGACATTCTTAGGGATTAATCGATCGTTCCAGATTTTCTTAAGCATCGGCTATTTAGAAAAAGTTTTCAATAATAAGGCAATTATCAAAGGAAAGAAAGAGGAGGAATGCACGAAAAATCGAACAAATGACATCATTTGATTCCTTTGAAACATCACGGTCGTCGCAATGAATCGTCACCGATCCGAGCAACGTCAGCTTCGATCGCTCACGCACTTTGTCATCGTATCCTAGTATCTAGATTCTAGTATCCTCCGAAGAAAAGTGCTATACAATCGGATACGATAAGAGAAATCGACGTCGTGAGCTCAGTTCCATTCAAACAACCACTTCTGCCGTCAATGAAATCGAAAATTCTTATCGATCAGCTATTATATCGTAACTATTTTCAAGTCTTAATGAACGAGCTAAATGAGCCCTAATGTTGGTGACTATATCTTTCGTTCAAATAGATTTTAAAGAACATGAGAGAGCATTATTTGGTTCGAAATAATGAGACCTATGCCAATGAAGGCTTGAACTTTGCTAGAGTTCGGTGACGGTGATTAGTTGATAACATTAAAAACATGCATACCAGGCTAAATAACACAAGGAAAAACCAATAGCTTTTCGAAACCAACGAGCTCTTTGACCAATAAGTTTATTAATTCTTGCCTGATTCGTGAACTTCGCTTCAGGATTGCTGGAAATCAGTAGTGTCGTCATACGGTACTCGTGTTGCTTTATCCAATTCTTCCGTTTTCACGAAAAATTTTAGGTGTTCAAAACTTGTTGAATTGGAAACATTTTCCCTCCACAACCGTTTAACCACAATAACTTTCGTCTATATTTCGTCGTATATAATGCTAAGATATTTTCAAAACTCCGGAGCGCAGGTGTATGCGGTGGGGAACGAACGCGCGCTATTGTCCTTACCGGGGAGTAGGGCACTTCACCACCACACCATCCGGGTCTGTGCGCTATTCCCGGGTAAAGACAATAGCGCGCATTCGTTCCCTACCGCATACACCTGCGGTCTGGAGTTTTGCAAATATCTCAGCATTATATACGAATTATATTTCGCAACATACCCTGCTATTAAAAAGAAAAAGGCAGTAAATAAAAGGGTTAAGATTATATTTCGTCGGTTCATTCAAGATTGTGTGACACCTAGCAGTATACCACGGGTGCTAAGAGAGCAATGTATGGTACTAGTATAGTAGTAGTAAATATAGGAACTATAAAAGAAACAACTTTTTGGGATCAAGATGACAATACGAACGACTTCGGCGAACTTATAAGATTGGAGACTTAAGAAAAATGTTTCCGGACTTTCCGTCTTAAAGTTTGAGTCACCTTAACCCCGTTTGAAGTCCTCATCACTACTAA